TATGCTATCAAAAGACAATCAATTCAAACTGGAACTTAAAGTGTGTTTTCACGTCACGTTAAATCCAGATCTTTGTAGATCAGTTTCTGGAGTCTGGTCCATCAAAAGTGCAGTTCGGTGATTGCACCGGGGCTATTTCTTTCAAACTGTACAATGGTAATCAATACGTATGCAGAATCACGTATTTCTGTGGGAAACAAAGTGTTTGTTGTGTTGTTCTGGTTTGGGCGTGAAGTGCCTACTTGGAAACTAAATTGGAAAGATGAGGAAGACGGGGGAAATTTTCATTCTCTGATTGCGAAGCATTTTAGCAAGAGACGGTGCATATGGAGTGGTTTATGTGCCAGTCGCTACTGGACAGGTATTTTGTATACAACGCTCTAAATTTGGTGATTAGTTTGTTCGCTGAGCTGAACAGTTAGGTTGCATAAGTTTCATCCTCGAACCAGGTGAAGTGGTTGGTATTTGAGAGGCAAGGAGGACAACGAAATTACGCCGAATATTGCCGGCAGTGACCTTCGTCATCGATCGATCGTTTGCGTACGTGGATACTTTCTTCTGATTGGTGGTGGTCCGTATGGCCTTCTCTGGATCCAATCTATCAGCAGGCACTCGCACAGGCTCTGACCCTTCCGTTTACTATCTCGTGACCTATCTTGTCTTGACTCCAAGGAGGACTCTGGTTCTTGGTTCATTGATGGGATAGTGAGATCTTCTTGAGCTGGTCTGTTGCAGACTTTGGAGTGTAGACCAGTTCTAGTTTAATGGGTTGGTTAACTGAATACATCGTGCAGCACCGAACATATTTCCTATGTTTAATTTCGACACTATCTATCTGCCTTGATCTATTCGAAATGTTCGTCAAACTGAAGGCCGAAACAAAGACGTAATGAACACCGAATCACGGATCCCAAACCAGTGTACTCCAGCACTCTCTGGCGTCAATTTCGTACTTTTGTCATGTCTAGTCTCTGTCTGTGCTACCCTAATTTCGAGAAAAAAAACATACACAAGTAACTGGGGCGTACAATCCCAAGACCTCTGATTAGAGATGCAAAAACTACGGCACGTGACCTTTCTTGCCTAAAGGCAGAAGGAGGGCAGCCGTGGTTGTACATCCAGAGCACTATCGCTCCATCCTTAAGTTTATATATGTTCACATCCTTTCAAGTTCAAAAATTATGAGAAGTTTTGAACTAAAGGGAGATTTTATTGCTCTGGATACAGAGGAAGATGAGTGAAACTTTCATATGACAAGTCATCATCATCGACATTATGACGTCAGTGTTCAAAACCTCCAACCACTCATTCAGACAGTCGGGATAGAAGCGGACAAGCAGATCACCACTAACATCGGTCGGCAGCCACATCGTGCAGCGTCTTCAAACAGACACAGTGAGGATCACGCGATCCCCATCCTGGAAAGCGAGTAGCACCGACAGCACCCAAACGTCACGTGATCTCCTTCATACTCCTCTGCCAAGTCAAGGGTTGGCCACCTCCCTGTTTACGCTACTGTGAATGGGGCATGGAAAACAGCACTGTCTTCGGCAACGATGGTTTGGCATACGCAACACATGTCCCAACCAACACAGCTTCTGGTGATGGACACATTCCTTAATGTAAGTACCCGTTGCACAACCGAAATCTCGCTCTCTAACTGCCTCGTTACGGATTCGCTGACACCAACCAACGCCAGCTATGGTTCTGAGACAACGATTGTCGAACACCTGAAGACGTCTCAGGTCCGCTGCTCGAATAGCCTAAGCCTCACAGCCATATAACAAAACAGCCCGTACTGTAGCTTGATACACACGTCCCCTGAGATTCAGGGATAAATGCACCTCCATAAGACAGCAGGTGGGGTGTTACTAATGATGGCTGATTGCTTTATATGGAGTACAGTCAAGTTATGACGTCTTCTAAACTGACCAAATTTGGTATTTAAAAATCTTAGATGGCCATACCCAAAAAAAACTAGACGATGATGTCAGGGAGTGCGTGAATTTCTTGCTGTGTGTTGATGGTATCAAATTTGCCGAAAGTATCTCTTCCCTCATGGGGGATAATCAATATAAGGATGAAGTTCACAAGACTGGGATAGAGGGTCCCCTAAGGGCTGGTCCCTTCGGTGTCCCTTTTGAGGGGGCTGTCAATGGATAAGATAACCGGAATTGTCAATAAACGTACAATCATTTTTAAAAAAAGGGAGTAGAAATCCCAACCCGACCAAAGTTCATAGAATCCCCCTACGCAGCTATGACGTCTTCTAAACTGACCAAATTTGGTATTTAAAAATCTTAGATGGCCATACCCAAAAAAAACTAGACGATGATGTCAGGGAGTGCGTGAATTTCTTGCTGTGTGTTGATGGTATCAAATTTGCCGAAAGTATCTCTTCCCTCATGGGGGATAATCAATATAAGGATGAAGTTCACAAGACTGGGATAGAGGGTCCCCTAAGGGCTGGTCCCTTCGGTGTCCCTTTTGAGGGGGCTGTCAATGGATAAGATAACCGGAATTGTCAATAAACGTACAATCATTTTTAAAAAAAGGGAGTAGAAATCCCAACCCGACCAAAGTTCATAGAATCTCCCTCCCCTACGCAGCTATCGTAGCGCTAGCGTACAAACAGACAGAAGGTGCAACCGACTTTCAAGAGGAATCTGCACTTGAAGTGAACCTTGAAGTGAACCTTGAAGCGAGCCAAATCCATGTGGGTTTCTTCATTGACCTGACAGTGGTGACACCCTAACACACAAGATCCAAATTTAGCTCGACTTAGCTGATTGGTTCTTTTTCCGCATAAAATCTCGACCAACCTAATAACCTAGTCAGTTGGTCTGACGAAGCTTTTGTGTCTGAAGTGAGACGTTATCCAGTAACAAATCCACTGACTGCTTTCCAAATTTTTCCGATGACGATAAATTCTCAATCAGTTCTAAGCGTTTCCTAACGATTGAACCGGTTACTTGCTTTCTGTTCCGAAGATTGGTCCACACCGCTACAGTCATGTAGCCAACATCGCTAGTTGGTCACCTCATGCTTGCAGATGCCCACGACAGGGTGATTCAATCTGCACTATTTTGCATACAAAAAAAAGCTCTCCGTAAACACGGAAAAGGCTTTAGCATGTTGGTCTTGTGAGTGAGACGAATCTGTCGCAAGTCATTCCAAGCGCAGAACAGCAAAACTCATTTGAGTGTGTTTATCGCAGGCCATACTAGAACCCAAAAACAAGATGAGACATGACAATGTAAGGCCATATGACAGTCACAGTCAATGGATTTTCACATAGGCGCTTCAATGCATTTGTTAGTGTACAAACACTTGCTAATAGTTAATTTAGGAAAAGGTGACATGCGCGTAAGTGAGAGGCAAATCTGAACCAAATTGGCTTGTGTATTTGACATGTTTCAAGAATTCATTCTTGAAAGACAAGGGTGAGTGCTACACGAACCGACGGGGGTTGCAGAGCCGGGCACACAACTACGTCAGTGCTCCTCAGGAGATGACTACTAAGAGAGCCACACGGTTCCAAACGTCATAGGTGACAAGAACCGTGAAGGAACCTATATCGAGGAGAGTTGAACAGATTCTGATTTATCTGTTCATCAAGGGACAATATGCTAACGAAGGGGTACAACATTCTAATCAAGCATCTGATAATAATGATGAGCATGGGGATGATGATAATGATGATGATGATGACGACGATGATGATGGTGGTGATGAGGATGATGATGATTGGGATGATGATGATGATGATGATGATTGGAATGATGATGATGATGATGATGATTGGAATGATGATGATGATGATGATGATTGGAATGATGATGATGATGATGATGATTGGAATGATGATGATGATGATGATGATTGGAATGATGATGATGATGATGATGATTGGAATGATGATGATGATGATGATGATTGGAATGATGATGATGATGATGATGATTGGAATGATGATGATGATGATGATGATTGGAATGATGATGATGATGATGATGATTGGAATGATGATGATGATGATGATGATTGGAATGATGATGATGATGATGATGATTTAGATGATGATGATGCTGATGGTGAGGATGATAGTGATAATTTGGATGATGATGATGAATTTCACTCTCATCAGGCCGCCGGGGAGGAATCCACCTCCTTGATTAATGCTCCGTTTAATCTGTGAACAATCTGTGAACTTCAATGCTTCCAGCGATTTATTGCAACATGTGACCAGCTGCAGCTGCTTGATGGTGCACAGAACTAATCCAGTTAGTGGAACTTGGATCCGGAAACATGAAATTTAGTAAACAGCATGTTGGTATCAAGCGCTTTTTCTACGGTACTTTCCTTCTCCCACAATGATCGCCAGTAATCCTCACCGTACACCATTCCAAATTCAGCTGTGTGGAAAGCAATCACACTTCAGAATCCTCATCACAGTTCACAGTACGAATGGTGTTTCATTTATGTACAACTATGTCAATTTATTTCGACAAATAGATATGAGGAAGAAATGGGACAAGGAGAGGGATTTTGGGTTAACCTAGAACAAACAGAGGATGCCGCCAGCAATCAGTCAGACAATCTGGATAGAAACTGACAGTATGAACGTCACTGATACGGTTAGCCATCATTTCGTTCAGTGTCTTCATTCAAGCACAGGTAATATCACGTGAACTTCACTCTGGAAGGCTGACAGCGTCAAAGCCTTTTGTAACAGTCCGCATACTCTTCATCCATGTGTCTCTCCACCTCCAGGTTTCCGCCACTCCGAATCAGTCACATAAAACAACATTCCTGTAGGTAGGTGGTAGCTAGGCATGCATAACACATGATTCAACCTACTGGATGCATTTTTTGAACAAACAAACAAAACCACTCCCTGATCACTTCAATCCAAGTTCGATGGTTTGAAACGATTCTGGGCATTCTTATGAGATATCGGTTATCAAAGACCTGAACACATCTCAGATGCCAAGTCCGAAATGGCCAAGTCTCGAAACCGTGTACCAATACAGCTGGCACTGCAGTCTGATATACACATCCTTTTGGATGGTTCAAATGAGGATTGTTTGGGAAATCCCATCCCTTCAAAGGATTCTCAACTGAAGCTCCAAAAAATTAAATGCTGTTTCGAAGAATTACAACCCGTGAACGTCCCCTCCCCGGAAAATCCAAGCGATGGAATTACTTCTAAGCATGCTAAAGGTAAAGACAATGTAAAACTCAAAATAGGAAGTCACTTGACCGGTACAATGAGCGTTGAAGAGACAGTCAGGTGATCTCTATAGACGAAAAGTGACCATGTGACTGTATCGGGTTGTGGTAAAAACGTTTATTATTGATGGATCGTTAAGAGACTTGTGCGTTCTGTGAGCTGCTCTGATTATTCTGAGGTATCATATCATTTAACTAGGAACACCACCCTCAGGAAGAAGGTAACGCACTTTGGCAGTTGTTTACTGGTTAGAATTCTGTACAAGACCCACATCGTGCTGAAGACCATGCGCTCACACAAATTACCTTCTTATAGTTTGCCTCCGTTTCCGATCAACTTTCGGGATAACTGCTCCGAATGGTTAGTGGATCATTGAGTTGTCCAAAGAGATTGATGATTTTGTTACTAATGTTTCACCATCATTCGAAATGACATCATCAGTGGGTCGCGATGCTTTGTGCTGTGGGTGTAGTCCCCGGTTTCTACTGCGTTCTTCCCAAAGATCAGAGGTACGTCATCAACCCATTTCTGAGAAGACGGAACTGTAGGAGCTTTCCGGACAACTTGTAATGTCTGATTGCGTCTGCTTGGTATTTTAGCATGCTTTTAGATGCGGCTTATTTACACTGGGGATTGTGTAGAGACGAACCAGTTTTGCTCAGGATGTAACAATACGGTGCTGTATGGATCTGGGCTTCCCCCACTTTGTGACACATTTGATCAGCTGACTCATGTTGAAACAGACACTGAGTTCGGTGCGATTTCACAAATGGTTGGAACGATTTCATGACAAAAGTGTCATTAAATCACGTGCCGTTCGGGCTAACAGTTTACGAAATCCACGCGTTTAGGCATGTGAATCACGTCCTTGTGCTCATGATATGCATGAGCATTACCATACTTAGACCGTCGTGAAAGGACAATCAAGGGAGAAATTTTTTCACTGCAGTATGCCTGATCCACTCAATATTAGGCAGCGTGCTTATTCTGGATTACTTCCCATGATGCGTGAGGAAAATCTGGTAACTTGAAGATATACATGCAGAACGGAAGATGGCTTTTGTAATTTCTCTTCAGGCCCAAAATGAAAGGAAAAAACAACCCAAAAACCGCTAGCTAACACCACTGGCTGATGAAACATGGTTAACCAGCTGAGGCAAGGTCACCAGCCAGATAACCTTGAACTGTGAACGAATGGACGTGCTCCAGGTGATCGGTTTCGTCAGCCAATTTCATGACAACAGTTCTTGGACAATTTTGACTCCAGAAGCAGAATTTCTAATAACCTTCGCTTGTTACTTCCACCTTATATGTGAGCTAGCTGTAGGCGCTACGTCGGTGCACGACAATACGAGCCTGAGAAAAAGTGAACTGTTTTTTCGGCGTGCATCGTGTCGAATTGGGGTTTACACCTGCCTTTTTGAGACTGTCACGCTGTGCCTGTACTAATCGATCTGCTCCCAATCGTTTGCATTATACAGGTGGGGAGACAACTCTCCTTCGATAAGTTGTTTTGACTTCGTAGTCCATTTTCGGTATATCTTGTTCAGTGCCAGTAATGTTTTGATGTCATCAAATGATAAGCGCCTATTGATAGGCTCCTTAATCAGCGAGTTCAATTTTGTGTTCTGCATACAACAAGGCAGCGGTTAACATGGACATAGAGGCGTACTCTTGGGATGACGCTACTGACCCATTTCACCGACTTCCGTTTTAACGACACCGTCTACCAGTTTGACTTCTGCAAAATCACCTTCTGGTGGAACAGCGCTCTAACGTTTTTTTGTAAAAACTAACGCCAAAAGTACGAACGGAATTGTGTCTGAAGTAGTCAGTTCATGCACCTCTAAGGCCCGAATCACTTTTGCTAATTTCTGTCACTTGTTGCGTCTTTGGGTCTTGAAGACGGCTAGTACCAGGCTACAATAAGGGTTGTAGTGTTGTACGGTCGCGGGACATGGTCCCTACGGATAAATGATGTGTCCTCGGCTTTTTTACCATCAATGTTTAAGAAACGTTCTGGTTTCGAGCCACTTGAAAGAAGGAGTGTAACGGAGTAATTAGGAAATGCGTATTAGTTTATATGGCAGGTAATCCAGTCGTGAAAACCATTTAACTCCAACAAATGAGGTGGCTCAGCCATGTGCTACGCATGCAAACGAAACATCATCTACTTAGACACGCGCTGTTCTCCTTGACACTCTAGAATGGCGAAAGTTGTGAGGTAGGCATCAAGGACTTCCAAGGAAACTCAGAAAACGTCTATGTCGACCACGATACACCGTCTCCGAGGAGTTGAGAGCACCTACTTCGACGTCCTTCATCAAACCTGACCTAATCGCTGTT